TGTGAATTTCTGAAACAAATCAACAATCTTAGCGATCGTTTGCTCCTTTTTGGTCCCAGGTGAATTTCTGAAACAATCTTAGCGATTTACGTTTTCTGAAACAATCTCTTCAGACTTGTGTTCTCTGGGTTTCAATGTTTGGGTCGCTCGTTGTTTAGCTGGTTTTGAAAATTTATCTTGGATCTAGAAAATGGCTATCTATATACAGAGTAGTTGTCTCGTGTTTCTTTTTGGAGATTTTGTTTCGAATCTGAAGGTTTTTGAATGTTATTGTAGATCTTCTGTACAAGGATTACCAGAAATTCAGTGTCACCACTTACTCTTCAACCGGTGTTGTAAGTTTTTCATACTCTATTTTGTTGGTGAAATGGGTTTTGTTTTTCTTCAGATTTCTTGAGTTTTAAACATTATTAGTGAAGAATTTGAGATTTGTCTAGTTTTCTATTTGAATTTGCTGCAGTGGTTGTCATACATTCATGGGAAAAGATTGATTTGCTTTGTTGTGAAATATGAGTTTGTCTTTTGGTTATTTTGGTTTGTGTATTTTTGAAGTACTTTTGAGTGAGTTTGAGTCTGATCTTGTGTTAGACAAGTGTGGCTTAATTTATGTAATACTTCATGATTGTAAAGAGACATCATAGTAGTTAGAAAGTAGTTGCCTTGAGAGTCTCTCTTGAATCTGGTTTTTGTATTGGAATCGACTATTTTACTGATTTTCACTTTTGTTTCTAGCAGAAGAGAGTATAATTTTAATGAATCTGATATGAATATGAATCATCATTTGGCAAAGAGTTACTAAAATTCTGAAATTCATGATTGTTTCATTTGCAGAATCAGCTCATGATGACAACCAAGTCTGAAATTCCTTTAATACTTGGCTGAAATTATTTCACCTAATTCTCTAAACATTTAGTTGGTATAGTAAGAGAGTTCATGGAGTTAGCATCTTGAATCTTGAATGGCTCTTAAGTAGATTGTTTAGCTCAGAGTTTCTGGTTTCTTGAATGGCTTTGGTTTGAAACTTAAGACACTCACAACTAAAAGCATCTGTGTATATGGATAGATGATGTGATGTGATGGCGTTGATGCTTAGTCTCTCCTCTAACATGACATGAGTTGGCCATGAACGTGGTTTTGTCTAAAGAGTAAATTGGTTAATTAATACTCCCTTGTAATAATTGAGTTCATGCAACTTCTTTTTTTGTTTTGTTTTGTCTATGTATAATTGCAAGTCTAGTTGATAGCTGTTAACCACCTTGTGATATCAATTGTCTATTATGTTAAACCTGTGTTACTAACGTGTCTGCTCTGCATTGTGCTGCAGAAGAGCAGGAGCTAAGCTTAAAGACAACCGAAAAAATAGGAGCTATTCAAGTATCTGAAAAGGTCTTACACTACTAGAGCTACTTCAGAGTTCAGAGTGTGGAGTTTGACAAAGCTAGAGCTACTTCAGCAGGTAAATAATTATGCTACAGCTACTCTCTTTTTGACATCTACATTGAGTTTGTCTTGAAGTTCTTTCATATACTATGTTAGATGATGTGTTTACTGTTCTTTATGCTCTGAATTTGCTTATGTCTAGGTCTTAATGCTGCAATTGTTTGATACACTATAGTTTTCTTCATAGCTAGGCCAATGTTAAAATCAGTCATGGAACTAAAAAATGGGCTGACCATTGGACATGGTCCTTAATGGGTTTGGACAAGTTTTTAGACCATTGTCCATTAAGGACCAAACCATTAGAGCCCATGAAAATAATGGTCCAAATGGACATGACCATTGGGCTTTGGACAACCCATTTGACTGTTCTAATTAACACACTATGATCCTATTCTGAGCAATAAATGAATTGCTCATATGAGTACTGATCAGTTAAATCTCTTCAATTACATACATAAACGTAAGTTGTACTGTTTCCATCGAGAAAAAACAAACTCAATTTTACTTCAATTCGAAACTCTCAAGTAGCAGTGTAGCACTGACCCAACCCAATAGTTTTTTTTCCTTAGAAATTCAGCTCAAAAAGCTTAGTTCTCGAACTCTATCAGATCCAAGAGAAGAACAACTCGTACATGATCCAAGAGTAAAGAAAAAGGAAATTGATTAAAATAATAATAAAAGATGCCGACAAAAATGAAAATCCTAAAACGAAGATATGGGACTATGCCCTTAAGCCCATCATAACTAAGACCAGGAGCTCTGTCTATATAAGCAAGTCTTTCGTGGATAATTCCCACAATTGCAATTCTCTTCTTTCGCTCTCGTTTCCTTTTTTTCTCTCTTCGAAGATCAAAGATCAAAGATCATGCCCTTCTTTTGAATCTGGGTCTATGTTTTTCTTCTGTTTAGGTTTTGTAGTTTCATGACTGTGTTTTTCTTAGATTCGAACCTCTCTTTTGCAAAATCAAAAACTTCGATTAGGTTTTTCATCAAGCAAATCCGAAAACCCTTAATTTTTCGTTGTGTTATTACATCTTAGGGTTTTCAATTTCAATACTTGTATTTCTCTTTAGGATTTTACGTTTCAGATTAGGGTTTCTAATTAATTTGTTTTTTGCAATTCAAAAGCCCTCTTTTTGATTCGTGTTTTCTTCGTTTTCGAAGGGCTTTTTTTTTTTACTTAAGTGATTGTAGTTTTCTTAAATTCAAAACCTTGTTTTGCAAATTTGGATTTTCGATTGCTGTTTTCGTATATCAAAAAATCCTCTTTGAATTCGTGTTTTCTTTTCTTTTGAAGAACTTTTATTTATTAAAAAAAAAAAATTGTCGTTAGTTTTAGTTAGTTTAAAGTTTTCTCTTTTCTTCAAACCCAAAAGAAAGGGACAACACATTAGATGATTGTTTCTAACTTGGGGAAATTGTCCCGATGTTACCTATCTAAGGCAAGCAAGATGAGATTGAAATCTGCAAGACTTGTCTAATTATGTAAGACAAGATTAAAATCTTGATTAACAAAGAAACTACGATTAAATCATCCTAAAGCAAGTGAAAGAAACTCTCACATATCAATAAAAATCCTTGTATAATTCGGAAAAACTACAGAATCTCTTTGTTAACGATCGAACTTGCTGTGAAAAAAAAACCTAAAACAACATCCAGATTCCTATAAAATCGAATCCTATGATTTCCAGATTTGATCAGATTATCAAAAACTCGGAACATAAATCAAAATCAGAGCCTAAACCCCCTAGAGATCTACCAATTACGCAGAGACAACACAAAAATGAGAAATCGCTCCTTAAAGCAATCTTTGTCTGTTTTTTGAGGCTTGCTTGCATTGTTATCACTCAGTGATTTCACTTCAACTTTCTGCTCAGATGGCAGTCCACTACTGGACATCCCTGTTTCTATTGTTGTCATGCCTTTTCAGTATTTCAAATGCTAGTGCTGGCGATGCCGATCCAGATTACAGGTATTATGATTTTTCACTTTCTTAAGAATTTATACACAACTTATCTTGCTCACTTTGTGATCTTAGAATTTATGTTCAAGATAGACTGTTTGTTCTTTGAGTTTCTAGCATGAACTTGGTTTAATAGCAGCGCATATGTAACCAACATTTTTGACTCGTGGAGATTATGAATGTCTCGCAATTTCGTAGGACATGCATTTCAGAATGTGAGATAAGCGGTTGTGTTGGACAACTTTGCTTTCCTCAGTGCAATTCTTCATCCGATGGTGGTCCATGGTACATACAAGAACCTCTGTATTTACAATGGAAAAAATGGGGTTGTCAAGGTGATTGCCGTTATCAATGTATGGTTAATAGAGAGAGAGAACGGGAAACTCTTGGTCAAGCCCCGGTCAAGTACCATGGTAAATGGCCCTTCAAGCGTGTACTTGGGATTCAGGTGAGTTTTTTTCTTCAATCACTTTTTTGATTCTGGTTGTTTCCATATAATATGAGTTTGATTTACCTTGTTCTTTGCTAGGAGCCTGCTTCTGTTGCGTTCTCTGTGCTCAACCTAGCAATGCATTTCCATGGTTGGCTTTCCTTTTTCATCACGCTCTACTATAAATTGCCTCTGAAACAAGATAAGTCAGCGTACTAGGAATACGTCGGTTTGTGGCATATCTACGGTCTTCTGTCCATGAACTCTTGGTTCTGGAGTGCTGTTTTCCACAGCCGGTAAATTATCTACACATAACTTTATTATTCACAATCTGCTTCATATATTTATATGATTTTCTGGTAATCCGTCTCTTTGGTTCTCAGGGATGTTGACCTCACAGAGAGGTTGGACTACTCATCTGCAGTAGCCGTTCTCGGATTCTCACTCATCTTAGCCATTTTACGAACCTTTGATATTCGGGTCGAGGCTACAAGGGTTATGGTATCGGCTCCAATACTAGCTTTTGTAACCACCCACATACTCTACATAAACTTCTACAAACTCGACTATGGTACCCCACAAACTCTTTCCGTTGTCTGAAATCGAGTCAATATTTTTGGTGAATTCACCAGTTATGAATGTTGTTTACAGAGTCAACATGTTTTCTACGCAGTCTTGGTGAGCTCACTAGTTTTGAATATTGTTTACAGGTTGGAACATGATTGTGTGTATGGCAATGGGAGTCACTCAGCTTTTTCTATGGGCAAGATGGGCTGCTGTCTCGAGCCATCCTTCTAACTGGAAACTTTGGGTGGTTGTGATAGCTGGAGGATTAGCCATGCTTCTAGAGATATATGATTTTCCTCCATATGAAGGATACTTCGATGCTCACTCGATCTGGCACGCTGCCACAATTCCCTTAACCATTCTCTGGTGGAGCTTCATTAGAGACGATGCTGAGTTCAGAACTTCCAGCCTCCTCAAGAAAACTAAGACGAAGGCAAAGTGAGTTCTTCGCTAAATTTCAGAAGGATTTATATTCGACCGTACAAATTTGCAAGGACGGGAGAAAAACACAAGGTGGAAATGGATTCAAGCATCACGAAGAAGGAAGAGACTTTTGTTTAAAGCTAGCTGGTTTGGATTCACAGGTTTCTTCAGTTTTTGTTTTTTTTTTAATTGTTTAAGCATTAAACTGTGGAATTTGCTTTGAGCCTTTCAGAAAATTTTCTTGGCCTTACTTTTGGTTAATTGAGATTTTGATATCATTTACTCATTCATACAAAGACTCCTGCCAAATCATTTCGGAATCAGATTTTGACAATATTTCGAGACAATCTTGTAATCTATATGATTGTGTACAAAAATTTGGATCTACAAAAGCAGTTGTGAGAAACTCTCAAGACCATCAATTTTGAGTCTTCTCTTTCATGAATCTGCTATTTGAGACACGACCTGCATAGATCAGACATGAGACATCTTATGAGAAATAGCCCAATAAAAGTATGTGTGTGTGAGTGTGAGATACAGAGAGGGCCGACGGATTTTCCTGAGTGATCAAAGGTTTTGCACAATCTTCCCACTCTGTAGCCCATCGACCCGAAGAACCAGTCTCCATTGCACCCACTTTAAGCGACATTAGGGCATCACAGTTCCCGGGAAAACCCTTGAAGAGAATCTGTTCACAAAGATAGAACACAAGAACATTACTGCTGTCTGCTGTAGACTTGGTGAAATAATGTCTTTAAAAGACAGACGAGTTACTTACCAATAATTGATCTGCTAATTCTGATGAAGATGAAAACAAAAGTCCATTCTTTCCATCTTTAACGAGTTCTTGAATGCTTCAAGAAAGTTGAAGGTAGGTTTAAAAGTTATAGTCTTTGTCCGTGAAAGTAAAGAAAATCACTGATTATTTTACCATGAGTAGGAAACCGAGCAAACTGGGAGGCCACATCCAAACATATCAACAACCTAAAACGCCAAACATCGGTAACAAGTTGACACAATGGAAATCAAATCTTAAGTCTTCTTAACCTTATTAGCACATATGAGCTTTAAAAACAATGTACTTACCTTCATGGGAAGGTCTAAACCCGATGAGGAAGTGTGTAAGCAGACACCGAGATCTGCAGAACCTAAAAGCAATGGGTAATCTTCAGCTGGGAGCCACATTGTACGGAATGCCACATGTCTGAGGTTTAAGCATTTGATATTCTCCTCGTACATCTCCTTTTCAGGTCCTTTACCTTCATGAACAGTATATGTAGCTCATGATCATAAATAGAAACAGCGAAATATTATCATGTTCTAAACAAGAACGAAACCATCTTTACCTGTAATGATGAACAACAAATTGGGATAAAGGTGCTGCTCTTCTTAAATTTCAGCTGTTTCAATTACTTTGGATCTTGCAGCCACACGCCGATCATACATTACTGCAGCTTCTAGTAGGATACCAAAATTTTCATCAGGGGTCCTGAAAAATTCATGCTCTAGTATTCAATGTCACAGAAGGATGATGCCACAAGAGTGAAAGTGAACAAAGAATGATGATGTGTCCTCACCAGCTTGTACTGCTCAGAACAAGAGCTGGTCTGTTTTGCTTCAGGGAGATGTCAGTATAAATTTTGGTAGTAAAAAGGGTTTCATTAAGCTCTTGGTTTTCCAACTCTAAATTTAAATTGAAAGATTTGACATCAGAACGAATGGAGAAGCTCAAAAGAAAATCAAAACATGGACTTTTATATTTAAGGGAGATACCTCTACTAATTGGATGGCAAAGATCATTTTTCACTCGGCAAAACAACTAAAGAAGTAACCAAATTTTATATACAAGTCTCATGTACAGCAGGACTCTACCCAGAGCGAAAGTGATTGACTAAAATAATCAAAAAAGGAAGAAAAGACCAGCTAACCTCATGCCTTTCTTCAAGTAAAGCGGGATGGAAAAACTCAGGAGGCTGATCATATAACACTTGGGCTCTGTTTTTCCAATTCAGAACATTAATATTGCAGACGAAATCAGAATCACATCACTTTCTTTACTTGAGAATCAAAATGTAACAGGTTATTATCTATGAGAATTTTCATCTCACCTCACTCCCCAATTCTGATCCAGTTCATGTTGCATTGCTTTTAGTGAACCTGTTGCCATCTTTCCCTAATGATTCTCAAACCTAAATCATGCAAAGAATATTATTCCACCCTTAGAGATAAAGAAATTTCGTTGATAGTTTAAGCCATTATCAAGCCATACCAGCGGTATAAGGATACAAACATATTGTTTCTTCCTAAAGACAATGCCAACAATGTATATCCAAAATTATGCCAATCTACAACAAACGCTGCACGTCTCCATGAACTCGCCCACTTAACAGCAATTAGGGTTGGAACGGAAGGAGGATTCTGCAGAAATAACTAAGTGTAACTTTTTCTGCAAGAAAATAGAAAGAAGTGATATTTCAAAGTGCAAACAAAAGAGACTTTACCTGGACCAAGAAAGTGTCAGGCGCTGGTACTTTTACGAAAAGAAACCAGAGAAGCATTGTAAGCTGAATAAATGCCTTGAGCAAGAGAGTTACAGGATAAAGAGCTGAAGGAATCGTGGCTGCGCCTGTTTTAACTCCCCCAAAAAAAGAAACAGAGTTGCTAGTAGTTTTATATAGAGGATTTGATCATAGCATACCATGGTAGGGATGTGGATCGATGGGTGATTTAGAACAGCTTCATGGGGTATAGAACCTAATCATGAGTTTAAAAACATTATAACAATGCATTCTGATTCACAAGAACACTGAAAACACCCTAAATTAGGAACCCTTACCTCCATATGCAACAATGTCTACTTGAAATGATGCCTGCAGTTTTATGTGACATTGATCCAAAATATTTATATAAACTAAGGACTTGGAAATAAAATCAATTGAGATCACTAGAACTTGAGCAAATGCAGCATCAAAACAAATGAGACTAAACCTGACGAGCAAGAGAAAGAGCGTGATATTGCATCCGAGGACTTCGACCAAGATCTCCAAGTACCACTACACAAGCCCTTCCTCTTTTACCCATCGTCCCTAAAGATCTTCTCATTACAAAGTTAAACCATTAGCACTATGTATCAGACTCTACTGATCCATGAGAAGCTAGCTAGTTTACAAAATCCAAGAGAATACATGAAAACGATTTTAGAAAACAAGACCAAAAACATTCGATAAATACCAAATCTAACCGGATCTCCCAGATTCCGTCGATATGCTCCGGGCAACACTAACGAGAAAAAGTAATTGGTCCCGAGAAATAATTAATTAGGCCCATGAGTTACACAACAAGCCCATGTAAAATTAATTCCTTATTCTCTCAAGTAACTAAAGGAGTCACGTGGTCGTGAAAACGGTCTTTTTCAACTTCAACTATTTGCAGGCGGATTTTTCCAACCCAAACTATTACCCCTAGTCGATTTCAACCCAAACCCAAAATTAATTCAAAATCGAAACCTGAACTAATGCAAATGAGCCGATTTCAACACGACGCGGAACGGTGTTAGTTCGGAAGTTAACGGTTACTCAACCTTGGGTAATTCTCTCTCTACAACCTTCATCAAACCTTGAAAATAAAATCAAATAACTTTGAGAACTGTTAACTTCCGAACTAACATTGTTTCACGTCGTGTTGAAATCGGCTCATTTACATTAGTTTTGATTTTGTATTATTTTTGGGTTCGGGTTGAAATCGACTGGGGGTCATAGTTTGGGTTGGAAAAACCCGCCAGCAAATAGTTGAGGTTAAAAAAGGCCGTTTTCCCGTCACGTGGTCTGTCACATGCGTGATTATCTTGACGGCGAAAGAAGGAGAGGATTTCACTTTCACGGCGAGGCCAGCATCGTCGGCGAAGTTAGGAGGTCTCCGTTTTGTGATTGTGAGACGCGCTAATGAATCTAAAAGATGACAATCAGTCAGGTAACTTTGTGATTTTCAATTCTAATTTCAGTTTCATAAACATAATGATATAGTAGTAGCCTGGATTCTCAAAAGTTCGAAATATTGGACGGCGCTTCTATGCTTCCTAGGATGTAACACACTCTTTCGATGGATATAAAATAACTTATTAAAATTTAATAATATAACATATGAATATTTATGACTTCATAACTTATAATAAGCAAAAAATTATATAATTTTATTAATTGACCAATATTTCTAGTCAATTAATATATCTTATAATTTTTTTCATTAGCCAAAACATTAAAACAATAGGGATAATACTGGAATTTTTACCAAACATTTGCATTGAAAACCTAAAACGACAACTATTACGAAACAAAATTTAAGTCCTAAAACGACAACTAAAACGAAACGGAGGGAGTAATATAACATATGAATATTTATGACTTCATAACTTATAATAAGCAAAGAATTATATAATTTGACCAATATTTCTAGTCAAAAGGGGAATGGAAATGAGAAATTCCAATATGCAGAGAGAAGAGATCTTAACCAATTTTAATGGAGGTAACTCGAAGGCCACAAGCTTTAAGCACGACGCCGATACTACTGGCGGTAACGCCTTTGCCAAGCCCACTCACCACTCCTCCAGTCACCAATACGTACTTCATCTCCGAAACTAGAGCACAGGCTAGTCTGGAGAGAACGCACACCAACTGTTTGTGTTAATGTCTGATCGAAACTACAAAGCGACACCAAACTCTGGTTTCCATTGACGGATACGGAAAAAGCTGACTTCTTTTCGAGGATCAATTGTATTCTACCACTAGTAAGCTCCCACGTGTCACACTCCCAAATCGTATGTGCATAATCAAGGATTTTATGCAATTTTTAGCAGAGTGCAAAAAAAGGTAAAAAACCATCTAAAGCTAAATTTTATCTGTATTTTTATATTATTTTTTATATATTGTATAGATTATCTTCTAACTCTTACATAAATGCACTTAAAAGCTAAAAATAAACTCTTGAAACAATAATAAAACTTAGCAAGCATAGTTACTCTTAAGATTAAGAGTCTCAAAGACATTGACTTTCTTGAGCTTAATCCTTAGCAAACCAAGACTGAAGTAGTTTGATGCAAAACAAAGTCCAACACATGGAAATGAAACAAAAATATGCAGAGAAAAGAACAGAGACTTTGAGAGAAGAGAGAAAGGTGAGAAAGGGAAGAGAGAACACACATAACATTTGTTCACCCATGCTACGTCTGGGCCGAGTCACAGCTCGGAATTCACTAGAATAAGCAAGTTACAAGAGGGAATCCCTCAGAGAAAGAGTCTCACACTTGAGATCTCCTCTCTGTATCTCCTCTGTTACACACTCAAGAGAAACACCAAAGCTTACACCTTTTAATGGCTATATCTCTCTCTTGCTTTCTTTCTACATTGTATCTCTCTCTTATTCACTCCCCTTAGACAACGCTCACAACATAGCAACATCTTATATATGTGAGACCACCTTAGGTCTAGGGCTTCTCCAAAACCCTCTAATTTGAATTCACGTAGTGACAAACTGTCCTTTCTTGGCCACCAATGAAAAATTAATCTAATTTTTAAAAAGTTTTAGTGACGTTTCGTTTAAAAATATTATTGAGGTTTTTAAAAAGTTTTAGTGTTAGTGAGGTTTAAGACTAGTTTTTAAAAAGTTTTAGTGAGGTTTCTTAAAGTTTAAGACTAATTTTTAAAAAGTTTTAGAGAGGTTTTATTTAAAAATATTAGTGAGGTTTTAAAAAGTTTAAGTGTTAGTGAGGTTTAAGACTAATTTTTAAAAAGTTTTAGTGAGGTTTCTTAAAGTTTAAGACTAATTTTTAAAAATTTTAGTGAGGTTTCTTAAAGTTTAAGTGTTAAATTTGTTTTAAATTTTTGTGAAAATCGTTATTGTTTTTTAAAAATGAGTTTAAGTGTTAAATCTATATTACGTGAAAACATATGCCGAACTTCGAATACCAAAACTTATGGACCAATTAAGGACAGGATGCCTAGGGGCGGTTAGTTTTCGAACGTGTTTAAAATTTAACACTTAAGGGGGTGTATTCAATTAAAGATTGAGGAGGGTTTGGTGGAATTTAGGAAATTTTGGATTTAGAGTGATTTAAGTGAGTTTATAGGATTTTTTTGGTGGAATTGTTATTTTATTTTTAAAAAGGAAAGATAATTTGTGATTTGATGAGTTTTTAAAGAGATAATATATAGGTGATTTGGTGAGATTTTTAGCACAAAAAATAGAAAAATTAGGATTCTCTAAAAAATTGCAGACCGTAGAATCAATATCAATGAACCATTCACATGCTTAAAAATAATTGGAATCACCATCAACAAGGCAAATGGGGACTTTGATTTTAGGATCTCTTATGTTATTTTTGTTCAAGGGATCGAGATCGAGAGAGATGAAGACGAGGATGAAGAGAGGAGATTGTTTCACTAGTTTAGTTTTGTTAGCCACATGTTTTTTTTTGTTTTTTTTTTGTTTTTAATCAAATACCACCTCTAGAGGTGTGATTGTTTAGTTGTTATTTTTACACTAAAAATGTATCCAAAGTCTCACCAAATCTGTTTTTAATAATTGTTTAAAAAAGTTTTGTTAAGTTTGAATAACAGTGGATTTGATATGGGTTTTAGAAATTCATGATTGAATAACATGAGATTTGAAATGATTTGGAATGATTTTACATAAATTTTAGTTTCAATAACATGGAATTTGGAAAGAAATTTTAAAATCACTAATTGAATAACAGGTGATTTAAACAAAAAACCAAAATTTTCTAAAATCATTGTTCCAATACACCCCCCTTAGACTAATTTTTAAAAAGCTTTAGTGAGGTTATAGTTAAAAATATTATTTTCTTAAAATTTAAGTGTTAAATTTGTTTTAAATTTTAGTGAAAATCGTTATTGTTTTATGAAAATGAGTTTTAAGTGTTAAATCTATATTACGTGAAAACATATGCCGAACTTCGAACACCAAAGCTTACAGACCAACTAAGGACAGGATGCCTAGGCGCGGTTAGTTTTCGACGTTTTTTAAATTTAACACTTAAACTAATTTTAAAAAAAAATTAGTGAGATTTTAGTTAAAAAATATTATTTTAAAGTTTTAATGAGATTTTAGTTAAATTAATAAAAAGGAAAGAAAAAAATAATAATAAGAATTGACAAAAAGGGTACCTTGTTGGACTTGGTAGCAAAGAAGAGCCATACAGCAAAGCCCATTTAAAAATTAGACGTGAGCCCACCATTCTTCTGAGGCTCCTTCGTTACACCATTTAAAACTTGCGTCTGCGGCAGCGGCTGCGGCGGCGTCTGCGGTAACGAAACGAACAACAACCTACGGTAGTCTTTGCCGCTGCCGCAGCCGTTGCCGCAACCGCCAGCGGTAACGAAACGAACAGACCAATGGACGATTTATCGATGGCGATTTTGAATCGTGTTGCAGATTTGGGCTTCCTCCGTTACTTGTGGGATCGATTGCTCTCAGATGTTCATCATCGGAGTCTTTGGCGTCGACATAAGCGATAGATTGATTTTCATCTTCAGTTTTTTAAAAAAAACTATCGTAGGAACTAGTTATATAAAAATCTAGTTTTAAATCGAAACATCAGTGGAAGCCCCCTTGGTCCATTGTTCAACCAAAGGTTGATTATTGCTTCTACACCAAAAAGTCTGGGGTTCGAGTCCCAGGTATTGCGATTTTATTAACAAATTTGCAGATTAATGGAGGCAAGTGTGCAAAAGATCTCAAACGATTTACAATTATAGCCGTTCGCCAGGATTCTACACAGAGAAGGAAGTGTCGTCAGGTCGTGGATCATTGAAGGTATTCATCAAAATTACGAAGAAGGAAGTGTAGTCTGTCTACAGTTCTCATAATTTGCAATTAATAATAAATTTAGACGACAAAAAAAAAAAAATCGAAACATCAAAAATCAAACCAAATAAATACGCTTACCATGTAAAATAATTGTTGTGGACACGATGGATGCTCCGTTCCTTGAATCTGGAACCTGTTTACGATAAAGGTACAAAAGCAAAAGAAAAGAAGAAAAAATTAGGAATTTAAGTAGTACCAATCCATAAACAGGTTAATTAGAAAATTAGGAAAACAACAATAGAGGAGACACTAATTTGATGATAGAAACCTTTTTGAAGCGCAAGCAAAACCAATCCAATCAGACACGTTTCTTCGGTTCCATCTCTGCGGCAGTGG